ATAATATTATATGATTAAATATTCTCCCTATATATAATTCCCGAATACGCTGAGCCTATGTGGCTGCTTCTGGTGCTTCGAAATCCTACTTGGCGAAGAATTATGCTTCGTAACTAGGTTTGGACAAATAATATTGATATATTAATAATTAATAATCTAGGTTCGAACATTTTATAAATATTATTTAGCTAACTTAGGTGTTTTAATATCACTTGACTAATATAACCTTTTAATTCCTTGTAATTTTACATAGTGATGCACTAAGTGACTAATATATCCCCTACTTTTGGTTTGTTTCCTTCAATTAGCTATTGAATTGTAAATGTACTTTAAAAGTAGATAACTTCTGTATTTCTTATCGGTTTTACATATATAATATGTCAAATTAATCATCTTTTGATGATCTTCGATTTGATATCTATATTGTATATTGGAATAAATAAATTATATTTATATTTATAATAATAAAAGATAATTATATTTATTAAAATTCATTTGAAAAATAAAATTATTTCTCAATTGATATATTTATGTTTAATGTAGTTATATGTTGTAAGTTAAAAAAAAAATTATTATAATATAACACAGGTAAGTCGCACAAATAAAAAGTGACATAATAAATATATAATACTCTCTCCTATTTTTATTATTTCTCGTTTTGAGAAGCAACACGCTAATTAAGAATTTTTTTATTGTCAATATTAACCTTATTTAATTGATGTTATGAGAAACTATGGAGATGGGATATGAAGAGACACTGTACATTGATGGAGGGTTAAAAATGAATAAAATATGAATAAAATAGTCAAAACGACATTTATTTAAAATATTAAGTTAAAATGACAAATAATAAAAATAGGAGGGATTAATATATATATTTTTATAAAAGATATTTAAATTTTCAACTATTTTTTCTCATTTATTTTAAATTTTAAGAAAAAGAAATTAGCAAGCACTCGTGTAATACACGAGAGTTGTACTAGTAATTTATAATACTATATGTTTGAAATATAATAGTATTACTTAAATTATAATCTTAATACTATGTTCATACAAATAACTTATAATATTTAATTTTATTTACATATATACAAATATACAGAGTCGAATACTAGTTGAATTTAATTTTTTTTAACCGTTAAAAAGTGTCTTTCACTTTTCGTATCTACTTTAGGCGGGCCGGGCCGGGCCGGGCCGGGCCGGGCTACAACCGCCATCACCGATGAAACTGACATTGCTGACAAAACCGCCATCACCGATTGAATCCTCCCTTCTCCGCCGGACTTCCCGGATTTTCTGCTTATTCCTTAACCTCCTTTTTTTCGCAAATCAGATAACAGGGAACTACAGATTTGGATGAAAAGATGACCGCTGATGATCAACAAATAGAATGCCCCTTTACTTGTCCAGTACTCTCTCTCTCTCTCTCTCTCTCTCTCTCTCTCTCTCTCTCTCTCCTGCTTTTTTCTATGCGTCATTTTTCATTATATTTACCACATTAGTAAGTAGGATTTGCAGTATATGTGTGCGCGCCTCTGTGTGTAAAAGTGTTTACATACATTATGCCTAAAGTTTGTTGTGCTTTCAGATCTAGGATTATTCGCTCCAATTACGGTCATTTATACACAAATTAGGAACTCAGTCTGATTTACAACAAACCCATATTTTTTCTTGTGAATATGCAGAAAGAGGAGGAAGACAGAGATTTCGATCTGGCAAATGCCGAGCCAGAGGCCCCTTTGCCCCTCACTGTCACTTCAAGGGTTCTTCATATTCTTTCTCCTTCCATTATATGTATTTGAGGTTAAGTTCTGTGATCAATTTGTAATCAAACAAAGAAAATGAATTGGGGCTTTGGATGACGTGAAATGCAGGTGTTGTTCATGTTGGGTGACATTACAGCTGGGCCCGCCTATCGGTTCGCGCAATGGCTTGAGCTTGTCCGCAGGCGGAGCAGCAAGTACCGGGCCTCCGGCTTCCCGCACCGGCCGTATTACTACGCCGAGAGTAGTAGTGCACCCATGAGGTTGGTCTATTCTGTTGATTTTTGTGTTATAAGCATTATAATATAGCTACGGCAACTCATTGAGTCGTGGAGGTTATAAGCATAGTGAGAAAAAGTTCAGATGACTGCAACTAGAGCTAGTTTGGACTATATTGGGATTAGAGAGATAGTGACTCATTCTGTTAAGGAAGTTTTAAGATTGTGTGCATTGTAGTCTTTTTTACAATCGAGGAAAATATGTATTCATTTGGCTCCATTTGTCTAAGATTTCCCCCATATAACTGTCAAGAAGGGATCGCAAATGGTCAGAATCAGGAGATGGAAATTGCAAGGAAATTATAGCTGATTGTACTAGACCTAGTTCATGAAAGTGCTGTAGATTGATGGTTTCCATTTATCTAGTTTCTAAGTGCCTTTTCTTAAAAGCATGATAGAATATAAGATTCTTAATGCGGGCGTAAAAGCCTGGTGTATGACTATGAGGAAATTCAAAAGCGTTTTGCAATTTAATGTAAACCAACTGTCTGGGAAAAGATTGAATAATTTTCAAAGGTGGTGAATGCAAAATTGGTTAGTAATAACTTGTTTACAGTTGGAGGTACAATCATGCACGATATGTTTGGAAAATATTCACTTCCTGGAAAAGGATAAACCTGCCATCATTGGATCTGGTCCGTCACTGCTTGCTCAAGTTTCCAGTGGCCCAATTGTTACGTTTACATATATACAACTTTTCAGGAAGGTTTTCATATAGGCATTTATGGAAGTACATTTTTGTTGTCTCTCAAGCATTCTTATGCAAGCGTAAAAATAGTGACACTAGAGTCGACTCATTGTGCTTGGGACATATTTCCCGCAAAGGCAGATATGAATATTAACTGTTAAGGTACTTTTTTTCAGGGTCGTCTTCTAATCATGTTATAAATATTTCTAGTCTTGGTTTTGATTTTTTAGATGTACACTAGTTTTTTATTTATTACGTACAATAAAGTAATGGACAAAATTGGAATGAGAAACTTATTCAATTAACTTACCTAAAATTGGGAATTTTCTGAGATACTAATCATCTCCATTTGTTGGTTTGAGGAAATGATGAAGTTGCTTTTGTTGAATCAAATGCAATGTTATGTTGTTCAGCCTAGAAGAAAATAGCGTTGGTGTAAAAACTTCTCCACCGGAGCAAGCGACAGAAATAAGTTTGTGGGAAAGACTTGGTAAAGCCGATATGTTGGACATTGAATCAAGCTCCTTTTCCTGGAATGCACTGTCTTCTCTTCACCATACAGAGCACAGCAGTTCTACTGAACAGTCTGAGGATGAGATGAACAAAGCACTCGAGGTTCTAACACGGCTTTTGTTTCTGCTTATCTTCTATGTTGTTAGTCACATTTTGGTGTATTTGTAGCCAAGTTATATGACTAAAAATTTATCATTCTTGTATAATGCACTTAATTTAGAAGGGTTAGTTTTGAATTTTGATAATGTACTCTATACCAACAGAACCTGTAACACAGTAGTGCTATTTAATTTTGGTCACTCCAAATATTACATGTATGATATATAGCCTATCATATCCTTGAGGATCAGTGTTATCAAGTGGCAGCCATGGCGGTATGGCGTGGCAGATTCGTGACAAACCGCTCATGTTAAATTTGTGAAGGATGGCTGTTATGGCAGCTGCTATGGCGGGATTTTGGCATGACAACCTGTTTTCTGCCATCCGCCACTGATAGCATTGTTGAGGGTTGACAGTCTATGTTTTTCATACACGTTGAACGTATATTCACTTCCATAATGTTTCAGTGTCCTCCCTCTAAATCCGTGTCACCCAATCCTTAATCTTCAATTGGACAATTTTATATTTGTAATATTGCTGCGGGAGCTAGGGCCTTAGATTTAATTGGTGAGCTAGATGGTCTGGTCCCTCGCATTAAATTCGCTTTCCATTAACATTTTTTATTTGATTAGTTTGTAGTATCCATTTATTTAACCTTCAGTGGATTTTGTTCTCAGTTGTTACAATGGTACAGGTTACTGTTAATTCTGGTGGTGTTGTTTTCTTCGCCCTGTTTAGCCAACCGGATTCTGATGAATCTTCTACTAGGGAAGCTGCAGCTGTCATAAAGTTCTCATCATCAAGGATGGCTACCCAATCCGAACGGCTTGGCTATGAATTTGCCAAGTGGCTTGGTGTCCAAACTCCACAAGTTGTATCTTCTTACTTCTAATAGTTACTTGTTTATTGATTTAAAAGTGAAGTTTCTCATTCGTGCAACTGTGTCAGAAAAAATAAATGAAAAATATTGCAGGCTAGAGTGATTCACAATGCCAGTCCAGAGTGGCTGCAAATTAAAGAGGCTGCAGAAAAAGCTAGGGATGCCGCTACAGCAGAAGGGGATGAAATTGTTGAAATGACTAGTTCAGAACTTCTGGAAGCTCTTGAGCTTAGTCGTTGTCTGCTCATGATGAAGTATGCATAGAAAAATTTTAAGCACTGTGGTCGTTTTATTAAGTTTCACTTGTTCTGAAATTGTTGAAATGACTTGTTCAGAACTTCTGGGAGCTCTTGAGCTTAGTCGTTGTCTGCTCATGATGAAGTATGCGTAGAAAGATTTTAAGCACTGTGGTCTTTTTATTAAGTTTCACTTGTTCTACCACGTATTAAAGAGCATAAATAATAAGCTTATTGTCAAAGGCACATGCATTTCTACATTTTTTGCTGACTTGCTGTACCTTTTGTCTGATTAAAAGCAATGGCGAAGCTAGGAGCGCTTCCCTGACTCTGGGCACATTCCATGTTCTTTGGAGTAGTAAAACATGTCAAAAGAATAAAATGAATATATAACATAATTATATGAAAAATAAATGTAATGGGCACTGAAAAAATAAATTTGAGCTAGAGCATAATTGTTTTTTGGGACAAAGCTAAGGGAAGTATGATGTGCCTTGCTTTTCATTAATTTCTTGTATTTACAACTAGATCTGTTTGAGAAATATGACCTAGTTATCTTGTAACAAGCTGTTCTGTTGCTCAATGAAAAGAGTGATTCAAAAATTTTATTTGCAAATAGGTTTTCAGCCAGAATTCTGCTGTGTGCATAATGTATGTTAGAAAAATTTTGTTGTAGTGACATTTACAGTAGTTAATAAATCTGTGATTATAGATTTTTTGCTTATACAGCGATAGCAACCTATACATATTTCTGATGCATGTGAATCTGTGATTGCAGTTATGTACACGGATCTCCTTTACTAGAAAGCACAAGCGTTTTCGAGTCACGTGAAGTTGCAGAAAAGACTGCAGCAGCCCTTGGTAGAATTCTCCTGTTAGACCTTGTCATAAGGAATGAGGATCGTCTACCTTGTCGCCATTTGAGATGGCGTGGAAACTTTGCCAACTTGCTACTAGCTGAAAAGGCATCCTATGGAAATGTGGACGCACTCGAGGTGGCCTTTGACTCTGCAATCAAGAAATACAGGCCCAAGGTAATCCGAGCACTTCAAAAAGAACGAAGGGCAACTTCAGTAGACAGTCGGTTAAGCCCTCCTCAACCGGGACTTGTATCACAGACTTCTGATGTTTCAGATATAACAGAATCATCCCCAAAATCTAGCAATATTAGTGTAAGGAGTCTCTCCCTGAACGAGTCAGCCTGTCAAGATTTACACATTGTGGCAATAGACTCTGGGGTACCTCGAAGGCCACCAGCCGGGAAGCGTGCGAACGACCAGGAAAACTATCCAAAACTAGTCGAGCTCCTCATAAACAGCTCCGAATATGCATCAGAACTCTTGCATGATATAACCGGAGGTAAATTAGGGACTTCATCAGGAAATGTCGATCAAGCAACTGATTTTCGCGAAGGCGAAATGAATTCAGTTGTGACAGGTGTGAGTGAATTCAGACGCGGGTTCCGAGCTGCCCTCCGGGACTTGGAGGGATTTCATATATTCCTTATTACCCTTCACCAGAAGCTTGATGGCCTTTTGCGTGCTTTTCTTGGTATAATTAATAAATCATCTTTTGGGGAGCTCGAGAAAGAAGATCTGGTGGTCTCTGAATCTCCACCACAGGTTAAAGGGACAGAGGCAAACTGTTCGTCCCCACCCAATCGGGAACGAGTTCTTGGTGATTGCTCTTCAGATTTGAATGATTCAGAATTAAGGCGAACACCTTTAAGGCCATCATCTGGAGGGCATCGAGAAAGTTTAGATAGTTGTTCCCCAATGCCACGTGAAAGTTGTCATGGGAAGTTGAGCAAGGGGAATAATGAGGTCTTTCGTAGCTTGAGGCTGACATCAAAGCTCCGTGACTTCCACAGATTTGCAAAGGTTTGTGAACGTATAGAAACGTGAATATCATTGAGAAAGAAAATCTTATTCTTCTGTCACTACTAGACATTCATATGGGAGTTTGATTAGGCCCTTAGCTGCTGCTCTTGGTTCTTGTTGGTCTCGTGTGATGGAAGCAGTAACTGAAGGATTATAACTGATGACATTTATTCTCTTCTGGCTGGAAATGTTTAATATTATCTTTTGGTGTTAGGAAGCTGGTAACGTTTGTTTCTGGGACATAGTAATGAGTTTGTCCCAACCAGGATAATCTATTAACATTGTCAATAAGGTTTGGGTGTAGGTGGATGGACCTGAACATATGTAGGTTTTAGCACTATTTTAGTGTTAAAGGAAATGATGGACTGACATGGAATGATTACTACGAACAATTTTTTAGACTAGTTTTACTTGTAGAAGGATACTAACAAACAGAAGTTAGAGATTTTGATGAGTAATGGTATGGCCAGTGGCCAGGCTTGAAGCTATTTGGATGTTCTGGCCTATTATGCTAACTAAATTCCAGAGTTGATCACATGGATGTGTATTCAGATATATGTTTTTAAAAAACGTCATTCTTCACTAGCATGTACAGCTCATATATGGTATGATTTTCTTGAAGTAAATTTCTATTTTTCTTAATTGTTGTGCGGAATCTGTTGTATAATTACTAATTGGTTGTTTGGTGTTCGTTTTTCAGGTGGATGCAGAGTTGAACAAAGAGTTAGAACAATGGAATGATATGCTTAAGAATGATGCAATTAAACTGTGCCAGGAGAATAATTTCACCACTGGGTTTTTTGAAGGTAGCGATAGCAATTATGTGGTCGACGCTTATGAGTTGAAGGTATAATTTTTGTTCACAGCATAACTTAGTAAGCATCATTTTGTCTTTTCCCTGTATAGTTTAACTTGGACTTCTTTATTGTTGTCCAAAATTATCAGGTCAGGCTGGAGCATATTCTTGAGAGAATAGGCCTGATATCTGATGCAGCAAACACAGAGAAGCCATCGCGAATCTCGGACTGTTTATTTATTGGCGGTGCACTTGCTGCAAGATCAATGTACACTTTACAGCTTTTAGGGATTACACATATTTTGTGCTTGTGCTCGAATGAGATTGGACAGGCAGATTCTCAGTTTCCTGAGTTATTCAAGTACAAGAATTTTTCGGTAAGTGATGCTAGCATCCTTATGTCAGCCACGTAGCATATTATGTTATATGCTAGGTGAACAACCAGAATAGTTCTTTATCATGAAATGTACGACAGCTGTGTCGGTCCCTCTTAATTTGGAATAATGAATGGGCATATCACAAAATATATTTGCTTTATAATATTATTTTCTTGGTTGAAGCAGAAAAATGAACAATCAGAATAGTTCTTTATCGTGAAATGATCTTCATGAAACAGATATGTGACAATGAGGACACCAACATCAGCGACATTTTCCAAGAAGCTCACGATTTCATTGATCACGTCGAACAATCAGGTGGGAAAGTGTTGGTTCATTGCTTTGAAGGCAAGAGCAGGAGCGCAACACTAGTTCTCGCATATTTGATGCTCAGAAAGTAATTCCAAACTTCTCTCTATCAATATGTTTTTTCATCTTTAACATAATCCAGGCCGAAAATCTTGCTCATAGATTGCAGGCCACAGATTTCCTTTTCTGATTTTCATCCAAATGTCTTATTTATTTGTTTTCTCGGAAATATTGAAAATATATGTCTTCACATACACCAATTCTCTCTTCTTTGTATTCAGAAACTTCACTCTGTTGCAAGCATGGAATGCCTTGAAGCGGGCCCACCGTAGGGCCCAGCCCAACGACGGGTTTGCAAGGATACTTGTGGAGTTGGATAAAAAGTTGCACGGCCAAGTCTCGATGGAGTGGCAGCAGAGGAGGCCATCAATCAAAGTGTGCCCTATCTGTGGGAAAAACGCGGGCCTCAGCAGCAGCTCATTGAAGCTCCACTTGCAGAAAGCGCACAAGAAGCTGTCGTCTGGCAGTGTGGACAGCGCCATGAATATGGAAATACAGAAGGCACTCGACGCTCTTAAAATAAGTCGTGGTGGTAGCGTAAGCCCCACTCAGAGACTGTCTCACTCGATGACTGACGAATAAATGAAAGCTTTTTCTTTCATTTTTTCCTTTTGGCTCTCGAGAGCCGAGAATCAGATTTTGCATTTTGTGAATGGTTTGGAGTGTGCAGATTCTGGCTTGACGAGTGGTTGAAGAGAAGAAGACCGAGGTTGAGAGTTTCAAATGGCTCCACTGTACGTAAGACTGGCTGTTGTAGTTTAAATTATTTCTTATACATATATTTTTTAAAGAATAGTTTTTATTTCTATGCATGAAGTTTAATATAATTATATAATAAAAAATAATGATAGTAATATTAAAATTAATAAAAGAATTATGAATACATTAGACTTTGTACAATCTTTATATTTGACCAAATTAATTAATATATTTTATGCAATATATCTTATAAATAATGCATAATGATGATATAAATAAATTTATTAATATCCTTATGAGCACCTTGTTATATCCAATCATACAGAACTTAATATATTTCGAATGGAAAAGGGATAAAAAAGAAAAACGAATTTTCAAATAAAATATATATAAATGAAGATAACAGTAGGGAGCAGTCAAATCCCCCTTATATAATTCTCGAATGCACTAAGCCTACGTGACTGCTTTTGGTGCTTCGGAATCCTACTTGGCGAAGAATCATGCTTTGTAGTTAGTTTGGACAAATAATATCCCCCTATATATTAATACAGAAAGCGTTGAGCGTACGTGGCTGCTCCTAGTGCTTCGGAATCTTATGTGGCAAAATTACATGCTTCGTTGGGTAAATTTTAATTTAATTCCAAACCAAAAATAATTAGGTTCGGATTACCATAAATATGTTGATTAGTTATGGTCCTGTTACATGTATTAATTGCATTTTAATATCATTCCTTA